ATCCCCTAGTGTTGACAAAATTAAAAAAATAATAAAAATAAATATATTTTTTATTTAATTAACTAATTAATTAATAGTATATACGGCTTATTTCCCTAAATTAAACGAAAACTTATAAATATTTAAAAACTTACCGCTCTTGGGGATCGATACCTCAACCTGACGCACCAAAGCCTAACACTCTGATCACTATGCTACTCTGCTCTGACGTGAAGTCGAGGAAGCAAAAGGGTTTTATAAGCTACACTATACTGACCGACACTGTTCAATTATTGGGCCGAGCTACGTCCCAATATTGGCAATAATAATTTGCCATCATAAATACAAAATATTAGCCATTAATGTGTCATTTCTGGGCCAAGCTAGGTCCCATTATTGGCAATTATAATTTATCATTAAAGACACAAAATTTTTGCCATTAAAGTCCTACCAATGTGCCTTTACTGGGCCGATATTGGTCACATCACTGACAATTGAATTTTGCCATTAAATATTAAACACTTCGGTGGCGTGGCGTTCAATTGGCGTTCCACGTCCCTGGCAAAAAGTAGCGAAATGGCGTTCCAACTTTTTCTAGATTTTTAAAGAGTATATTTAATTTTAATCTACTGCAACAATATGTTTCTATGTTTTCAATATCAGGGAACACAAAAATGACAATAAAAATTTGTTTTTTAAAGATTTTCATTGTTTTTTGGACGTTGCAAATTTGACCTTGAAAATTAAAAAAAGGCCGTTTTTAAGGTACTTTTTGGTTTTTTATCAGGATATAAAATTTTTTCCTAGGGTTTTCACTATGTGCGTACGAAAGCCCATATCTTTCTTAACAATTTCCAATTTGGACCTTTTAAAAATATCTATTTTTCGATGAGTTATCTTTGTTTAAAGTTCGCGTCGCATCATAAAATGAGCAAAAATGCCGTTTTTGAGGTATTTTTTTGTTTTTTATCAGGGTACCAAAATTTTTTCTAGTGTTTCCATGATATACGTACGAAAGCTCATATTCTTCTCAACAATCTCCAATTTTGACATTTTAAAAATATCTATTTTTCGATGAAGTTCGCATCGTAACGTCAAATGGGATAACAGTGAGAAAAATATTAACATCATATTAATATTATTAATATTAACCCATTAAATCTCAAGCAGAAACCAATGATTCATTAAAGAAACTATTATATTTTTAGGAAAATCAAAAATAAATTGACCATTTTTTTTTGTTTATCATTTCAAATTCTTTAACAATAATTTAACAAAAACAAAGATAACTCATCGAAAAATAGATATTTTTAAAATGTTTAAATTGGAGATTGTTGAGGAGGATGGGAGCTTTCGTACGCATATCATGAAAACCCTAGAAAAAATTTTTGTACCCTGATAAAAAACCAAAAAGTATCCTAAAAACGTCCTTTTTCAATTTTCAAGGTCAAATTTCTCGAAAACCTTGGGTGATGGAACAATTCTGATTACGGATTCGCATTCAGCATCAAAAAACCTATAAAAATCACCCTATGCGATCCCAGAAATAATAAAAAAGTGAAATTCTGTTGCACTGTGTTATGAAAAAATACAAAATTTGAATTTTTTGTGAAAAAGAAAAATATTTATTAATTTTAATAAAATATATACTTTGTCTACATTAATCGATTCGTTTTCTTGTCATGAATGTAATTTTAAGAATAATTAATGAAAATATTCACAAATAAAAGAATTATTTCAAAAAATAAAAAAAAAATTTTTCTAAATTTTAAAAAAATTGTATAAAAAAAATTTTGTAGATATTTTTGAAAATCCTTGTTTTAGATTTTAGCTATTAATGACTGCAATAAACCTGCAAAATTTCAGGATAATCTATCGAAATTTGTCAGAGATAATTTGTACACAATTTTTGTGACATACACACACACATATATACACACATACATCTGGACATTTGCTCATAATTGAATATACATACGTTCTAGATGAAATTGAGTCCATATATAACCTTCTTTTGAAAAATTGAAAATCGTCACCAATGCAAAACTTCCTCATGAGGAAGCAAAAATTGATTGAATTCCCTTGAAACGTTTTACTCGGGGGTTTTTGAGGACGCTGATTAGGAATTTAGTGTGAGTTTAACATGAAGAAGCAAAAGTTAAAATGAGTCAGGAAGTTAACTCATTATTATGAGCTGCAAAAAAAATGAGCCAAGGGTTTTTTTTGCTTAAAATTAAAGGACCCACCTGCATTCGAAAGAGAAAATATTCTCTACCTTGAGCACTCCACGAGGAGGCTGCAACGATAGAATTTTGTGCTCTTTTATTTTTAAAAAAATTTTCCTTTTTGTATTTTTTTTGCATTTTTGTATTTTTCTTGCAGCTCATAATGCGTTAATTTCCTGACTCATTTTAACTTTTGCTTTTTCATGTTAAACTAACATTAAATTCGTTATCAGCGACTCCAAAATCCGCCTAGTAACAATTTTTATTAAAATGCATTGAACGCATCGTTTTAATTAACAATTTGTTTATATAATTTGCTCATAACAATTCACAAATGATTCTATAACACAATTCTACGATTCGGAGATTCTAAGATATTTAAGGGTCATTCCAGTGAAAACCGTCTAGAGCTGGTTGCTCGATGATTTTAAAAAATGATGTGATTAATATATAATATTCTTCAATAAAATTGGATTATATTTTAGTGGTTTATAGCCCCAAATATATTTTACATTATTTTAAATATTTTTTTTAAATGTCTAACTGGTTATGCAGTCTAACGTAACCCATTTTGCGAAAACTCAGTATAAATCATTAAAAATAGATTAAAAATACTGATTTTTATTTTGAATAAATATATTTTTGCTAAATTCATTTAAATAAACGAAAATTATTTAAAAATAACTCACCAGAACAGATAAATCAGAATTTTTTTGTACTTGCACAGAATAATAAACATGAATTTCTTTTTCTTATATCTTCTGTGGAGAAAAAGGAATTTTCACGAAACATTTTTAAATTGATTTATTTTAAAATTATAAATTTATTTAAATTGGAATTTTTTTGGGACCTGTACTCATTAATTATTTAATAAATATGAAAAGTTATATAAATTTAACCTGATTTTCATTGAATTTTTATTTTCATGACTGGACTGAAGTTCATCACCTTGTCGTTCGTTTAAAGAAAAAAAACTTCAGTCTAGTCATGAAAATAAAAATTTCATCAAAATAAGGTTAAATTTATAAAATTTTTCATATTTATTAAATAATTAATGAGTACAGGTCCCAAAAAAAATTCCAATTTAAATAAATTTATAATTTTAAAATAAATCAATTTAAAAATGTTTCGTGAAAATTCCTTTTTCTCCACAGAAGATATAAGAAAAAGAAATTCATGTTTATTATACTGTGCAAGTACAAAAAAATTCTTATTTATCTGTTCTGGTGAGTTATTTTCAAATAATTTTCGTTTATTTAAATGAATTTAGCAAAAATATATTTATTCAAAATAAAATCAGTATTTTTAATCTATTTTTAATGATTTATACTGAGTTTTCGCAAAATGGGTTATGTAAGACTGCATAACCAGTTAGACATTTAAAAAAAATATTTAAAATAATGTAAAATATATTTGGGGCTATAAACCACTAAAATATAATCCAATTTTATTGAAGAATATTATATATTAATCACATCATTATTTAAAATCTTCGAGCAACCAGCAATAGACGGTTTTCATTGGAATGATAAATAAATATTATTTTTCATAGAAAGATCTTGAGTTTATTTATCAATATTTAAGCGAAAGTGGGACGCCATTCGTAGAAAAGTATTAAAAATGCCTATTTGCAACGTCCAAAAAAACAATGGAAATCTTTAAAAAACAAGTTTTTATTGTCATTTTTGTGTTTCCTGATATTGAAAACATAGAAATATATTGTTGCAGTAGATTAAAATTGAATATACTCTTTAAAAATCTAGAAAAAGTTGGAATGCCATTTCGCTATTTTCTCCATTTTTGGCCAGGGACGTGGATCGCCAATTGGAACGCCACGCCACCGAAGTGGTTAATCAACTTTGCCAATAAGGTGGCGTTATTGGGCTAAGTGCCGCCTCAATACTGGCAATTGTAATTTGCCATCAAGATACAAAATTTTTGCCATTAAAGTGCCACTCATGTTCAATTAATAAGCCGATCTACGTCACATCACTGGAAATTGTCTTTTGCCATTAAAGATTGATCAACTTTGCCGTGAATGTACCATTATAGGGCCAAGAGCCGGCCCAGTCTTAGAAAATTTGAAAATCTGACCATCGGCGCCATCATTGGCCCAGCAATGGGACGTTTTGAACACCAGTAATGGCCCACTAATTACTGCCAATTCTCGGCAAACATTACTAAAACCAATGATGGGCCGTTTTTTCAGTCTTGGCATTTCGCACTTGGGTTACCACTAATTCATACTCTCTCCCTGCTCACTGGTCACTCAACAGACTGTTAACCGGTTGAAAGAAACCCTTTGAACAATAGGCCAGGTACTCCAGCAGGCCTTTCGTTTCTCTTTATATATGTCGCAGGCAATAAGAAGAATTAGACATTTAGCTTAATTCCTAGGCATTAAGCTAAATGGTGGAAACTACCTTAATGACGCGTGAGAAACTCATATGTTTCTATTTGCCTGGATTAAATCAGGCAAATAGCCTAATGCCTAGGCATTTAGGAAACTGCCAAAAGTGCTCTCGGCAATTAGAAAAATAAAAGAATGAATGAAATGAAAATAAAAAATTTACGAAATTATTTTTCAAAAGTTATCAAAATAAAGAAATGTTTTGGTTAGAAGGTTTAATTGTTAATTTAATATAAACTTAGATTCGTATCAGCTGTCATAGTTTGTTTATAAATAATTATTTGTGTTTTAGATTGAATTAAGTATATTCAAAAACTATATTTTACTTTAATATTGAGAAAATTGAAAATCAAAATTAGTTTCTCTTTACTTTTATTAAGTGACGGTTGAATTTTATTTCGAAATGGAAACTATTACTAGTGACGGCGTAGACAGAGAAGAGTTTGAAAAAAATGCAGAGATGCAATGCTTGGAAAAAACAATCGGTGTATGTGGAGCAAAAAACAGTTAGAAAATGTAAAAAATATTTTAAGAAATGCAAAAATCGGTGTGAAAAAAATCTTTCTGACTATCATTATTTAAAAAACTACGACATTCTTCAAATTGGAGAAGAGAGTTCCGTGATTGTGAAACAAAAAAATCCTACTGATAATATAGTTTATATGGTGCCATTCGAAGATTATTTCCCTAAACTTTTGGAAGCGCATACCAGTACAGGACATGAAGAACGAGACAAAATGTTATATTTCATCAAAAGTAAGTGGCGTATATCTAGAACGGCTTGCTCTTTTGTTGTAAAAAGTACCTTATAATGTCCCCTTTAACATAAATTTTTTCCAAATTTTTTTAAAATATAGTTTTTGAGTAAAATGTCAAAAACCATGGTCATGCTATTTGTCACGTACGGTAATGCACATATGAGGCATTTTACGTAAAATGTCCTAAGTTGAAATTTCAACTTCTTGAAAAAATTGAAACTCAGGGAATTTGTTGTTCTATCAAGTAGAAATGTGCCCCAAAAAATATTTTTGAATTTTTCGAAAATTTAGAGGGGGTAGAGGGGGGTCAATTTGACCAATTTTGCTAACACCGGCTACTTTGTGAATTTTTTCTGAACATACTTCTAATGGGAAAAATTTTGTAGAATATGTTTCAGAAAGGTTTTTTCGTCCTCTTTCCAATGATGCATTTTATTTTTTAATATTTTAAAAATTTACCCTAACTTTTTATAATTAATATTTAATTTTCAATTTCCCAAAAATCGGTCCGTTTTTTTAAAAAGAAATTATTGCAAACGAAAGCTGAGGTTTTTTCCTATCTGCATGTAAATTTTCAGAATGCTTTTTTTTGTTTTTGAGTTCTTAAATTGTAAAGAATAAATTGCGTCCCGGGCGCCTCGTCTCACGCCGGTTGCCACGCGGCTCAGTGCAACCGCGACGCTACGCGCCGCAATTTATTCTTTAAAATTTAATAACTCAAAAACAAAAAAAGGGCATTCTGAAAATTTACATGCAGATAGAAAAAAACCTCAGCTTTCGTTTGCAATAATTTATTTTAAAAAAAAACGGACCGATTTTTGGGAAATTGAAAATTAAATATTAATTATAAAAAGTTAGGGTAAATTTTTAAAATATTAAAAAATAAAATGCATCATTGGAAAGAGGACGAAAAAACCTTTCTGAAACATATTCTACAAAATTTTTCCCATTTTAATCAGCTTTGGATATGTTGAAAAGACAATTAAAGAGATTTAAAAAAAAATTTCAAATTTTTTTTCAAAAAATTCCACAAATTTTTTTTTTTCAATTTCAAAATGAAAATTTTTTGAAATTTTGAAAAAAAATTTTTTTTGTCCTACCTGCACGGAAAGTATGTCATTTCGGGCACTTAAGGCGGGCGCAAAGTAACACATTACGCCCGGGAGTGGGGGAAGCGGGCGGAAAAGTATTTTGCGCCCGCTTGTATGACGTCAGCGGGCGGTAAAGTATTTTCCGCCCGCTTCGCCTACCTCCGAGCGGGCGGAAAATACTTTACCGCCCGCTTGTTAGTTATTCGATTTTCTTCATTAAAATGCGACATTTTCGACTTTCTTTTTGTGTTGACTATAAAACTGCAAACATTTTCAACTTGTTTTATTTTGTCTATAAAAATTTGCAATTTTTTTTTATTTTCTCTAAAAAAATAATGAGACATTTGGTTTTGTTCCCATTTCGTTTATCAAAATTGTCAATTTTAAAAGTTCTTGTTTCAGTTTTGTTTAATTATTAATTACTACGTTCTAAATAAATACTATGTTTCCAGAATACATTGTTTTTTATTTCTATCCCGTGTGGAAATCTGCCCAAGTTAGCCCAGTTAAAAACTGGGAGCCAGCTGGGCCCCACCTGGGCTTCCCATTTTCATAAAAATATTAACATTATAATAGAAAAAGTCTGAAAATTAAATATAACTATTCACAATAAATCATTCTACAATTAATTCATAATAATAATAATCATTATTATTTTAAACAATTTATTATTGTCAATAATTATAAACTTTTATTGTACTACACTAACAGACATTTAGTTTTATTGAAATTTTAAAGTTGTTCCAGCTGAATTTATTTATTTAATAATTAACTCATCAAGGTATAACGGTTTTTAATACATTTTAATAATTGTTTAAACAAATAATTGTTGTTATTTAATAACTTTTGATACACATAACTTAGAAACTTGCAATTTTTTTTCCTAATTTTGCAATTAACTAATAGGAACGACATAAAATAAAGAAAATTTATGGTTTTAACAATTCAGAAATTGTTTAAACAAATGATTGTTGTTATTTATTAACTTTTGATACACATAACTTAGAAACTTGCAATTTTTTTCCTAATTTTGCAATTAAGTAATACGAACAACATAAAATAAAGATAATTTATGGTTTTAACAATTAAGAAATTGTTTAAACAAATTATTGTTGTTATTTATTAACTTTTGATACACATAACTTAGAAACTTGCAGTTTTTTCCTAATTTTGCAATTAACTAATGTAAATAGTAAATCATTCGGATGTTTTATGATTTTAATTTTAACAATTTATCAAATGTTTAAACAAATAATTGTTGTTATTTACTAACTCTTGACACATAGCATCTAGAAGAATGAAGTTTTTTCTTATTTTGCAATTAGTTAATCAGAGTAGTAGTAATTGTAAAATTAGAAAGAAACTGCAAGTTTCTGGATTGTTTGTATTAAAAGTTAATAAACAATAACAATTATTTGTTTAAACAATTTCTGAACTGTTTAAATCATAAAATACTGTTATTTCATACTTTTCAGATTAGTTAAATATAAAATTAAAAAGAAACTGCATTTTTTTAGGTGCTTTGTGTCAAAAATTAGTAAATAACAACAATCATTTGTTTAAACAATTTTTGAATTGTTAAAACCTTAAATTATTTTTATTTCATGTGGTTCGAATTAGTTAATTGCAAAATTAGAAAAAAACTGCATCTTTCTGGAAGCTAGTGTCAGGAGTTACTAATTAACAACAATTATTTATTTAAACAATAACGACTGCAATATAACATTAGTAAAATTTATTATATATAATAACAAAAATCGTTTACAGTGAAAATTATTAAATAGTTTAGTTTTTCTTTAACATTTAATAATAAAACTTTGATGTAATTATGGTCATCTTCGTACATGAATTGACAATTGACAAACATGTTAACATTTTACGGAAGCATTTTAGAGTTTGTCTATTGACCCACTCACGGTGGGTTCCGGTCAGGCGAAATAATATTATAAGTGGGCGTGAGCTGGGTCCTACCTGGGCTTCCCAGTTTTTGAGGACCCACATCAATAATTATATAAGCAAAAATTTCTAAGTCCAAACCTAAAAATTTTTTTTTCAACAAAAAATTAATGTTTATAATGACTAAGATTAAGAAAAAACGTGTTTTTAACAAAAATGTATTCACAATATTTTTTTTTATGTAATGTCCACATAATTAATTAGTAAAAATTTCTAAGTCCAAACAATTAAAAAAAAATTTTTTTTTAGACCAACAAATTAATGTTTATAATGATTGTAAACAATAAAAAACACATTTTTAATAAAAATGTATTGATATATTTTTTTCATAATAATATAAATATTATTTTAAGAATATTTATCGTTTATTATTACATTATTAATATTGTTATTATTATTATTAAACTATTTATTTGTCACGGTGTATTCGTATCAGTAAATGCTTTATTGAATCATTACAGCAGATCAACAAGTCACTGACAATAAAACGTCGGTGTTCAGTAGTTAGTCTCCGTAGTATAGTGGTTAGGGCGTTAGTCTAGTAGTCCGTAGGTCGTAGGTTCAATCCCCGCGTGCGTTAAATTTTATTTGTTTCTTAGGTTTGCGTTTATTCCGATTTTTCTGCATTGTATTCGTATAAGTATGCAATTTAGTGATTATATATACCGTTTAATAATTTAATTAACAAATTTCTAATTTTTTTATAAATTTTTAATTTATGAATGAAAGGATATATATTAATTCCCATATATATGCTAACATTATTTATGAATTTGCTTTTGGTCACAATTTCATTAAAAAAAGTAAAAATCGTTAAATAATAACGTTATTTATTTATAATTCGACTTATTTGTTATTAATAAACAATTTATTCATTAATTTGAATGAAAACTAAATCTATGGGCCCCAGCTGGATTTTTCCTAGGTGGGCTGTGGCTGGATTCACCGTTACAAGCCAAGGAATCGCCCACCTGGGCCATCCCTGCTGGGACCCACCTAGAACCTGGGAAGCCCACCTGGGACCCACCGTGGGCCCACCTCACTTTTCCACACGGGATTTTAAAACTTCTATCATTATAGACTTCATTCGATATAATGTTTATATAGAGCTTAATTTTTAACTAATATGAGCGTTTAATCGTGCGTGCCCTCTATGCCATACTTTCCATGCAGTTAGGACAAAAAATTATGTTCGCATCATGGGCGCAAAGGTGATTACGACTTTGGCGAAATTTCGGGACCTCGGGGACACTTTCGCTCCCTCGGCTTCGCCTCGGGCGCGAAATTGTGTCCCCTCGCTCCCTTCATTTCGCCATCGTCGCAATCACCTATTTTGCGCCCTTGTTACGAAAATAACTATTTAGTTCTATTAAAGTGACATTTTTATGTATTTTCTCATTTCATTCTCTTATGTAATCTACTTAATAAAAAAATTTTGCCCGACATGATTTCAGGGTGTGTCACGTTAGCTCGACCTCCGATAATTATTTTAAAATTATCGCGACAAATTGTGAGGGATACGATTCTTAGTAAGCGCAAATTAAAATCAGACTTTAGTACAACGAACATTGGTTGGCCTGTGAGTGAAAAACAACCTATTTTCATACGTGAACCGCTCGCACCTACAAATCGTCGAATTTATCATGCAGCTTTCGAGTTAAAAAAAGATAATAAAATAAAATACTTATGGATTTCTGGTGGAAAAATCTACTGTAGAAGAGAAGAGGGATCACTGCGAGTTCAATTAACCCAGTTGGAAGATGTAGAGAAATTCAAATAGCAACTACTGGATAAAAATTCATACTGGATAATAACTCACGGTTTTTCAGGGTATAAATATTCAGTTCATTATTTTCATGACTTAATTAACTGTTATTTTTTCGATAGGATTTACTGGTATGCACTATCATATTGGTTACAAATAAATAAATGTTTCTTAATTAAAGCAATA